GCATAAAGCTCCATACAAATAGGAGCCAGCGACTTCGGGATTGAAAACTACACGGATTCCATAACCCCAAGAAAGGTGGTCGTTAGACCCAGGAGCTCCCGTCTGTGAGCTCGGGGGTGTTCATACAGACATCCTGGGCTGCGCTTCGGTGGCGCCACATCCCATAGCCGCCTTTGGATTCCCCTCGGTGCCGCGGGAAGCGCCGCCGCCAGCCTTGGTGCTCTGCAGAGGGCGTTTGGGAGTTGGCCGTGGCCCGCGTCCCTCCGGCGTGGTTGAGGCGCGCTGCGGTTCGCGCCCCGTGTTGGCTTTTCCGAGTCTGCGGGTGCTGAGGAAGAGGGGGGTGTTCAGGTTGTGCTGAATGGTGTAATGGTAGATAGAGAATATTTTCCAAAGCACAACTAAATAATTTAACTTTTCCCACTGCTGTGCTCCTTCTCTTACCAGGTGGTGGACACGCATGGTTCAGGAGTGGAACGGGGCCTTCCCCTTCCCAGCGGCACTGAACGGCGGGGTGAGCCCCCCGCGCCGCACGGGACCGTGCAGCCAAGGTGTGATGTGGCCCCGTGGCGAAGCTGGTTTCACTGCTGCTGGGAAGTGAGGTCCTGCTTGTCTCCTCCAAATCCCAGAATCCCTCTGCACTGCAGAGGATGGGCAAACCAGGTGGAAAACAAACCCGGTGCGTTTCCGCGCCGGCCCGGTGCTGTGAGGCAGCACGGCGCGAGCTCCGCCAAGCGCCAGCGGAAGAGACGCAGCGGGAGGGTTTGGCTGGAGCTAGCGTACAGGCTGCCTGTTTTAGCAGGGGTGAACTCTCTCCCTTCCCAGCTCCCCATCTTCTCCAGTGACATCCTGCCTGATGGAGCAGAGATCCCTGAAGCATCCTACAGCCGGGCAAGTTGTCAGGGTGACCTTGAGCTTGTCACATCTCGGCCGTGAGGTCGTTCTGTTTAATGGCAGCCTGGAGCAGCACCTGCTCTGGAGCTGGAGGCACAACTGCCCGTTTTCTTCCTCGGGATTTCTGGCGTATGAACATCTGGCTCGTAGCTCCTGCCTCCTCCTTGGTTCCTCCCAGAGGAACATGGTGCTCGGCCAGTCTGCTCGTATCCAAGGTGTCTTTGAGATCTACTGCTCCCGAGCTAGCGGCGTTTTATTTGTTTGCTCCAATAACCACTAAATCTCCTCTGAGCCCTTCTCGGGAGCTTTCTCACGTCGGGTGGCGAGGGAGGGAACGCTTTCCTTCCGCGGTGGGTCAGCACCCGGAATTTCCAGCCTTGGAGATGTTCAGGATTCACCTGGGCAAGGTGCTGAGCAGATTCAGCCCAGCTGTGAGGAGGGGAGGGGTTGGACTCGAGACCCCCAGAGGTCCCTTCCCACCTGTATCTTTCCGTGAAGCTGAACAATCGCTCGTTTGCTTTCTCTGGCAGTGCAGCTTGGTCTTTTTTTTTTTTTTTAAAAACAGTTGTTATCATTCATCAGTCTGTTGCTTGATTTCAAAATTCAGAGAGGGCTGAGGTGAAATAAGCCTTTAAAGGAAGCTGCTGCTTTTTGCTGCTGTGGGTATTTGCAGGATCTGGATTTCTTTTGAACTAACGCAGATCCCACAGTTTCTTCCCGCTGCAGCGCAGCGTGCTAGCCAGCTTTTGCGTCTGGAAACACGTTACGGGGGAAACCCGCGCTGGGAAAATAAGCCCCGAGGTGTCGCCGCTGCAGCTCTGCCAGGGCCTCCTCGCCCTGCTTCACCAGCTCTGCATCCCTCTGCCTCCCCAAAATGACCGTGTAGGTGAGAAGGGGGCGAGTGGAATTTAATAATAAAAAAAAAGCTGCTTAAATGGCACCTGGATATCTCACGCAAAACCTGTTTACAGCCCGCCCGTCGCGGAATACGGTGACGGGTTACTGCGGTACAGCCGGCTCCTGGGGAATGAAGACAAACAGGAATCAAAGATCCAAGTTTTATCAAGATGCTCGCCCCTCGACGGGCTCTTGAGCCCGGGCAACCAAGCGGCTGGCTGTAGTAAGATCAAAGCCAAATAAAACCGTTCACGATTTTTCATTGGCCACTCCTCGTTTCGCAAGGCTCCCGCGCCGGCTATAAACGCCGGCGAGCGAGCTGCCAGGCAGCACCGGGGCGGAGGAAGTGCCGTCGGCTCTCCCCCAAAACCCGTCGAGGTGAGCCGCGCGCTTTCGGCGGGAGAGCCCTCGAGGGGCTTCTCGGGGGGCAGCTGCGAAAGGTGGTCGGGAGAGGTTGGGGTGGCGGAAGGCCAGCCGGAGGGAGAGGGAGCCAGTGCTGCAAAATTCCAAGGGATGAAAGTGAGACTATTACACAAATCGGTCTTGGGCATGGGATCTTTATGTTGTGTCATCCAAATTAATTGGCTAATTAATGTTATTGTCTTTTCTTCAGGCAGAAGGTCATTATACTAGTGTTCACTCCACCGATAAATTAAAGTTCAGATGGCCACAGCCTTCATAAATTCAATTAAAAATGCTTAAATATTTTTACTAACTTTTTTAAAAAAAGAAAGAGATTTAAGTGGGATTTATTCATTTAAATATTGATTAAGATGCTCAGGTCTTGCAATTTTAGCCCGACTTTTAATCTCACTTGGGCGGATCTGATCTTCTCCCATCCCTTCCCAGAATCGACTGGAGTAACTGCTCCTTTTCCTCCGCTGCGTTTGCCCTGAAATCTTAAAACGTGGCTTCGGTGACCGTTACGTGACTTAGAAAGGGCGCCGGTACCTCAGGCGGCGGCTCGTGTCCGTCCCGGCAGCTGCTACTAATAAATGCTGTGGTTCTTTATCTGATACCCGATGACTTTGTGCGGAATTAGATACAAGTATTTGTTACAGGGCTACAAAAAAAGGTGTTTGCAACCTGAAATTCAGGCTCACGCCAAGATCGGGTGCTTTGAACCTGATTGCTTCTCAGCTTATGTCAAGAGCAGGAATCTCTTGATTTCAATAGAATTCCATATAAAAAGACAAATAAGGTATTTCAGTGGGTCTAAAAGTTCACTTCTGCCCTTAATAGAATAGTTGGGGTTTTTTTTCTATTTACTGTACAAAATGCACTTTCATTTAGAAATTAATTGAATGTCTCACTACTTCCTGTAGTATTAGGTGGATGATGAAACCCGGTCCAAACAACAAATGCCAATTTCTAAAATAATTCTCAAATGTAGCGTCAGTTATCGACCGGAAGATTTATCACCGGTTACGTTTTTGATGTCGTTATGATTTAGGACAAACCAGTGAGACGTTAAACTGAATGCTCAGATGCCATTCATGCGGATACAAGAACCAACATACACAGCTGAATACAACTGGGCAGATTGGGTGTACATAGCTTGTTTTGCTTTTTTCTTCCAAATTCCGATCTCTCTGTCACGCCCTTGCCAGCTGCTGCTGTATTTATCCTCTGCTAAGAATGTTCTGCCTTTCCTTTTTTTCCAACCCCTCCAGCATTTTGGGGGGAGGGACGAGAAGTCTTCTCGCAAGCAGCGCTTATTTTCTGTTTTCCTTTCGTGCAGGCTCTCATCCAGCACCTGCAGGAAGAAATCCCAAGTAGGGAAATCCAGCTGAGATGGGGAAAATCATCATTTATGAGCATGCCAACTTCCAGGGTTACTCCAAAGAATTCACCAGCGACATTGCCAATCTGAAAGACGTGGATTGGAATGACTGTGTCTCCTCAGTGAAGGTGACTGGCCAGCCTTGGGTGGCCTACGAGCACCTCAACTATACGGGCCAGTTGCTGGTGTTTGAGGAGGGAGAACACGGCTTTGTTGGTGAGCAGATGAACGACAAGATCACTTCCCTACGGCTGATCACGGAAAACCTGCACAATCCCCAGATCACTCTCTATGAGCATGCCCAGTACCAAGGGAAATGCAGGGTGATAAGAGAAGCCACTAATCTAGGTAGGGGGCACGACAATGACATCATCTCTTCTCACAAGGTTCAGAAAGGGGCCTGGCTGTTGTGCGAGCACAGCGATGGAAGTGGCTTTCGTTACATTGCGCGGGAAAACGAACACCTTCCGAATTACAACGCGATCCATTTCAATGACAAGCTTTCGTTTCTGCGTCCCCTTCTCCCTGGCAAGTGCTGTGGCTGTTAGAGTGCAAATCCATTCCGGTGCCAAAGGAAGATGCTGCCCCAGCATCCTCCTAGATCTCTCTAGGAAGAGAGACGCGTGAGACCTAGATCTCATTCTGTCCTCGCGTTGCTTTTTTTTTTCCCCTCTGCCACAGAAACACAGAGTGGCAGAACTCAGTGATGTAAAAGCATTGCACGTTGCTGCTGTTGCTAGATGCATAAACAAAACGTGAGGCTATAACCAGCATCGCTCACTCTCTGATTTGTTTTACAGCGCTCTTGCTTTACCATGCCCTCTGCCGGGTTTTTTTTGTATTCCATTTTGCGTCGTTGCCATTAAAGAATCTGTTGAAAGCAACAACGGGTCTATCTTACGTATCGTTTGTGGTTTAATATAGATAAATATTGCCCTTTCATGATGAGATATCTCTGTGTATTCAGAGAATGGTTCGTGTGGTCACTTGTAGACATTTTCTAGTGGAAGGTGTCCCTGCCCATGGCAGCGGGGTTGGAATTGGATGGTCTTTGAGGTCCTTTCCAACCCAAACCATCCTGTGATTCATGGATCTCTCCAGAAAGGTCTTATCTCCTGCCATTCTCGCTTGTCAGTAGCACTGGGTTCAGGCTTGGCTCATCCAGCCTTGAAGTCTGGGTGAGCGTGCTGAGTATTGCTGTGATCCTGGCCAAACTCTCACCTGGGGACAAGGTTGATTGTATCTCAAGACAACGATCAGGCTAATGATAGACTCTTCTACTGCCCCAAATTATATAATCAAACAGAAAGACCTGCCTGTTTTTTTTAAACCTTTGATATCTTGATGTGAAGTATCATTTTGAAATCTCAGCGTTTCAATCAGAACGGAAAATCCCCTTCTTCTGAAGTTACCTCCGCTGTCATTCTACATTGTAATGACATTTTACCATTGTAACAGTCGAGAGAATCCCCACGTGGTACATTCTACCACAGGCCAGCCTCACGTGCTGGCTCAGGTAGCTGAGGGCCCTCCAACACATCAAGCGGTGCCAGGGGTTGTCGCGGCTACCGGCATGGGATGAATCCCAGTGTGCCCTTTTTTCTCCTTTACCAGACCCATGGGCATCCCAGGCCACAACCTGGAGCTCTCATGGGGCAAAGAGGCAATCAGAGGATGAAGATGCAAGCTGCAAGGAGTGGGATGAATCCCAGTGGGCCCTTTTTTCTCCTTTACCAAACCCGTGGGCATCGCAGGCCACAACCTGGAGCTCTCACGGGACAAAGAGGCAATCGGAGGATGAAGATGCAAGCTGCAAGGAGTGCCGAGCTGAAGGAGGAGGGCTGTTTGGCAAGGCTCGGAGCAGCCTGGAGAATGACTTCCTGTTCAGCATTCCCACAGGACCCTGACTCCGTGTGTTTGCTCTTTGCCTCCAAAGCAGCGCGTTAAAAGCCACACGACAGAGTCGGCTTCAAAGCGCTTGCCTTGGGAACGTGAAACACGCCAAGCCTTCTGGCAGATGTGGGATCACCAGCTATTTCAAGACCCACTTTGCTGAGCCTTGGTTTACGTGGGGGGCGCAGAGTTGCGGTTCTGGGTTATCGCTAGCGGCAGCGGCACGCTCCCAGGCGCCTCCTGTGACAGCTGTCACCCAGCTCCGCACCCCCGTGTTTATCTAGCTCCGTGCCGAGCTCCTGTCTGCCGCGGTTTTCTTTTATTTATAGCTAAAAAACAAGCCCGGAACGTGTCCTGCTGCCGTTTGCTGGGCTCTGTTCCCGTTTTGAAAGGAACGCTGCGGGCTGTGTGCCTCTTGGGCTGCTCAGCTAGGCTCAGGGGGGCAGATGCAATGGTGATGGATCGGGTTTTGGGGCACTTCTTAGGGCTTTGCAGCCAATTTCAGGTTTCCTTATCCTATTCCCCAAAGATCTTTTAATTAAATCCAAATAACAGCTTTCCAGTATCTGAAGGGGGCCTACAAGGGTGCTGGGAGAGGACTTTTTACAAGGGCCTGTAGTGACAGGACAAGGGGGAACAGGTACAAATTGAAATCAGGGAGGTTTAGATTAGATATCAGGAAGAAATTCTTCACAGAGAGGGTGGGGAGGCACTGGAACAGGTTGCCCAGAGATGTTGTGGGTGCCCCATCCCTGGATGTCTTCAAGGCCAGGCTGGATGAGGCTTGGAGCAACCTGGTCTAGTGGAAGGTGTCCCTGCCCATGGCAGGGGGTTGGAACTAGATGATCTTTAAGGTCCCTTCCAACCCAAACCGTTCTGTGATTCTATGATTCTATGATTCTAACATGGAGCATTCTCCCTACTCTAGGCCAAAATAGCTTGGGAAGCTATCCAGATGTCACTGTCCAGATGAAGGCAGTGATGTGCCCAAAACGGAGATGGTGTAACGGGAGGGGGAAAACACACACTGGTGTATTCACACGTGAGCTGTGGCAACGGTACCAGGGGGTGTGCAGCAGGCAGTGCTTTCTGCCTTCTCAGCAAGGTGAATTAGACTGTTCAGAGCTCTGTACCGTCACCACGAGGCGTATCCGGGAGGCCCTGGCACAGAGCATCGTGCAGTATGTAACAAAGCTGCCAAACACCAACACACAATCCGTTTCTGTTCCCTGTATTAATGCAGCTCTCCAATATTAATACCTTTTGGAGTAGCACATCAGGAGGCAAATGTCATCTGCTGCCCAAAATGATTTGTGTAAGAAACGATTTTTGCAAGTCCTATTGGATTGCCTTGCTCACATCTGAGGGATCCCTTCCAGCATCTCAGCCTAATAACGATATTACATAGGCACCGTTAACAGCAGAGAGATTATTTATGATGTCTCTAATTATCTTTCCTAGGAAGCACACTTGGTGATATTTCCTTTGTGAAAAATGCCATTTCCTAAAGAGCAAAGAAGGTATTCTCTTGGCACATATAATTTAATGCTTATTTACAGCTGGGATGCCTCTGAATCAGGTAACTGTAATCACTGAGTTTTCCCTCTGCTTCTCTTGAGCAAAGAAAAGAATGCATTACATCCAAAAGTTGCTGTTTCTCGGTGATTTTTACCAGCTCATACTCCCGTCTGTCTCAGGTTCTCCTGGTCACCAGAGAGGGGCTTTTCTTTGTTTTGAGGGTGGGGGTGTCTGCTTGCTCTTGGGGTGCAGCGCACTGCAGACCAGCAGGCAGTTTCTACACTGCTCAGCTAGCAGTGCCCTTGAAATCATGTTCTGCGATCAGCCTCACCCTTGCAGCGGGCTTTAAGATGAATCTCAGAAGGACACACATTCCCTGGCATTCCCTACTGTACTTCTCGTGCTATGTGCATCCCTATAAAAATGTACTGTAGGACACTTGCTCAGGAAAGACTAGAGCACTGGCATCTCAATCTGCCTGTCAGCACAGGCAGGAGCAGGATCTGGATCCCCCAAGCCCTGCTACACTAGGCATGGTACCAGTACGAAGGAAAAAGGCTGATTCCAAAGTAAACACTCAGTTGAAACCTTTCACGGAGTGGATTCCTACTGACCCACAGGGAAGTGCACACGGACATTTGAACAGAATGCTGCATAAGGAAGGCTCTAACCTGTGATGCACCAAAAGGAGATGTCTGGAGAAGAAGGCTCAAACAGCATGGGTAGAACTAAGGTGACACATAAACAGACTGAACTTTCCTCTGGTTAGAAACGAACATCTGCAGAACAAGTTCGGGCACGTTTGGGTAACCACAGAACATAAAACTTGGGCTTGACGTCAGATCTCGGCTACACAGAAAGAGGGTGATGATTACACATTAACCATTCAGCTTACCTTTTAACAATGCCGTGTGGTGCTGCGGGTTAGGGACAGGTTCCTCGGGAAAATTTCCTGGAGCCTCACGCCGTCTCGGCTCTCGGCTCGTGGCCGGGCTGGATGCACTGAGGGATCGTGGCTCTTGGCTGAGAGAACCCCAGGTGACTGCCCTTCGATCCGCGGTGTTTAAAGTGAGATTTACATCTGGCATGACTTCCAGACTCTAGATCCAAATTCCATTCAGAAAATATTGCGTAAAAGCTGAAATCTTTAAATCCCTGAGTACAATCACTACCTGCAAAAATGTATTCCTCCCCTGTTCAAAACTGGGTTACACACATCACATCACTCTTCTTACTTTCTGGGCTTTTTTCCCCCTTACCTACACCAGGAGTTATTGTTGGGCACGTGAGAGCTGCGTGCAAAGCAACCCGTACTCAGACGACCCCCCAGGAGCAATCAGCTCTCAGAAGGGAACATGTACAGAGCTTAAGGCAGCACAAATTTTGATTTCCACCACAAACTCAGAGATCCGCAGCTCCACAGACCTTCGGCGGCTGCCTATCCAACAATAAAAATTTTGGCTGCCCCATTACCCAAAGGAGAAGGGGCCTGCTGAAGGACTTAGTTTCTGGGTTAAAAAACAGCATCCTTGGTCACGCTTACTGGTTTGGCACTGGCACATTTGTTCGGAGGGGAACATATGAACCAGATTTAAAACTCTTACTGCAAAGGCAGCGCAGCAGGATGGTGTAAATTCTGTTATATACATCTACACACGAGACAAATGGAGAGTGATGCATTTGAGGGCAGATAGCAGCTTCCAAAATCCTGTTTAAAAGCTTTGGAGTCACGCAAACAATAGTATCAGGAGGCTGTAACCCACAGCCTGTGTTTCACAACGGAAGAAACTCCAGGGCCATAACTGCAGTCAGATGATCAGCACCAGGCCCCTTTCTCCCACTGTTTCAGGGCTGTGGCGCATGTCCCTTGGCTCAGCAATGGGAAGGAGCAGCTCTACCGCAACCCGCAGTGGCAGCTCCACCGCCCGGGCAGCCCACAGTCGGGGGAGCGGAGGGAAACGAGGAGACGGTTGCACTTAATCTCTTTTTTGTTTGCTTTAACATTCACTTGGGGAAACTCCAGCTGTTTTTCAAATACAGGATTCACAGACTTGCTGTTTGCAAACTTGCGAGCTTTCAGCGCTGCTTTCTGTCCTGCTCGTTTCATCCAGTGCTGGTACTCCCCCAGCTTGACATG